TGCTCTTCTGCTTGAGTGGTTGTTACATACAGCCTCTGATGTTGATGGGGTACATCGTGAATGCTCTTCTGCTTGAGTGGTTATTACATACAGCCTCTGATGTTGATGGGGTACATCGTGGATGCTCTTCTGCTTGAGTGGTTGTTACATACAGCCCCTGATGTTGTTGGGGTACATCGTGGATGCTCTTCTGCTTGAGTGGTTGTTACATACAGCCTCTGATGTTGATGGGGTACATCGTGGATGCTCTTCTGCTTGAGTGGTTGTTACATCCTGCCCCTGATGTTGTTGGGGTACATCGTGGATGCTCTTCTGCTTGAGTGGTTGTTACATCCTGCCCCTGATGTTGTTGGGGTACATCGTGGATGCTCTTCTGCTTGAGTGGTTGTTACATCCTGCCCCTGATGTTGTTGGGGTACATCGTGGATGCTCTTCTGCTTGAGTGGTTGTTACATCCTGCCCCTGATGTTGTTGGGGTACATCGTGGATGCTCTTCTGCTTGAGTGGTTGTTACATCCTGCCCCTGATGTTGATGGGGTACATCGTGGATAATCTTCTGCTTGAGTGGTTGTTACATCCTGCCCCTGATGTTGTTGGGGTACATCGTGGATGCTCTTCTGCTTGAGTGGTTGTTACATCCTGCCCCTGATGTTGTTGGGGTACATCGTGGATGCTCTTCTGCTTGAGTGGTTGTTACATCCTGCCCCTGATGTTGATGGGATACATCGTGTGACGGGCTCCCACTGAGTGATGTTAAAGCTGGGGGAGAGGGGGGACTCCAGGGGAGGTTGCCCGTCACACGATGGTCTATAGTTGCAACCCTATAAGCCCCTAATTTAGAAAAAAACCGAAATCACGCGACACACACACACACAGTCATACGTACGCAACACATACACACCCCCACACATACACCACACATACTCACACACATACCTCGTTCGCCCAATTAATCTGCCAATTCAACCCCATTTTTCATTCTAACTATAACGATTTTGTTATTTACAATTTTGCCCATCATGTACGGATAACCCTCCCTTTGTTTTTCCCTAAATTCTTCCTGATCTAGATAAGGCTTACCTATCTTATACATAAACTCCACGGTCTTGAGAAATCTGTTAAAATACCGCATGTTGAAAAAAATATTCCACCGGGAATGAAGGTGATTCCATGGAAACGTTAACATAATTATTTTAAGGCTTTACTTGACTACTTTTGTACGAACAGTTGTTTGACATAATACAACATACAACGATATTCCTCCAAAAACATGTTGACCGAAGTCCCAACTCCATTGATTAAAAGGATAAAGTTCTTTGAAGCGCAAAATTAAAAGTGGGATTTCGGCCCAATATTGCTAAGTGGTGGAGGACCAAACAATAACAAGGCAAGAGCTGGCTGGACGCAAAATATAAATATAATAATAATAACTTAATAACTAACAAGAAGAAATTCTCCCTTTGATTTAAAATGCAATGCCCTAGCCAAAATAATGAACTTAATTTTTAAAAGGTTTCAAAAATATGATAAAAAATTAATTTAAAATATAAACAATTTCATTTAAAATATAAAGTAATCATTCTTAATTAGACCTAAGTTACTATTAACTTAAAATTAAAGACGTGAAAGACTAGTGGGCCAGCTTGAAATAAATTCTTTAAAATAACGGAGATAAAGCCTATACATATACAAAATAAATAACTGACATTGACAAACACGGAAATTACAGATATCACAGATATAAGACAAATATGTGGCCGCCCTGCATTGACACCAAGCAGTTTATCACAACCAATAGTAAATTTATTCATCCTCACTGAAGTGGTGTTAAAAAATATGGAATGAAATTTAATTGAAAACAAAATAGTAAAATAAAAAAGGCAAAACCAGATATTTAAGCAAATTTGAAGGGAACCAAAAAATTAAACTACAGGTAAAAAGATTACCGTGTTTTTTTGTTTTCTTTTAAGCGTTGATGTCAACTAAAAATTTCTTCATATCTGATGTTGAACAGTGAAATCCTCCGAATGGACTGGACTGACCTGACCGTGATAACCTTGCTGAAGTCCAGGTAGCTGGAAGTAGGTGTTCGGCCGAGTGAATGATGGCCGCCACCCAGAAGCCGCAGCTCGGTGTAAGCCAGAATATACGATAGGACCAGCTGCGTTGGCATTGCCATCAAAACTTAATCAGGACAAAATATTACGGCTTTAGAAGAGGTCACTCAAACACTCTCAAACGAGTCATCAACAGCATCTCCGGAGCTCTGAAAAGCAAGAACCACGCCACGTCTGCCCTGATTGACGTCAGCAAGGCTTTCGACCTAGTGTGGCACGAGGGACTACTTTACAAACTGGCATCCCCCCCATTACCTGGATGCATCTTAAAATTGATGAAAAGTTACCTCTACCAACGTAGCTTCAGCGTCCGCGTCAATCAGAAGTACTCCACCCCCGACCCATCTCTGCAGGTGTGCAACAGGCACCAATGACATGCCGCTCGCCCCCACATTCCAGCTGTCACTCTATGCAGAGGATGTGTTGTTCATATCCACCTCCGCCAACCTGACGATGTCGGGTATTTACGTCCAACGACAGCTGGATCTCCTACAACCCTGGCTGAACAAGTCGAGGATCAAGGTCAACGTTAACAAGTGCGACGCCATCAGTTTTACACGAACCAGACAACAGGCAGATGGGTACCATCTATTGACAGCCGCCCAGTCTCCTGGAAGAAGACAGTTAAGTACCTGGGGGTGCTGCTTGACAAGAAAATGGCCATGATGCCCCACGTGGAGAGAGAGAGTCCGCCATCTTGCCTAGAACGGCATCGGAAGTCTCGGCAGTTCAACGCCAGGTGACTGCCCATCCGGAAGAAGATCTCACTATACACGGCCCTACTGACCTACGGTCGGAGCTGACCTACGCAGCACCTGCTTGGTATCATCTCACCTGCAGGAATTTGTGCAGGAAACCGCTGACGACCCAGAGTAGGAGCCTTTGGCGTGCCACCAAATCCGTGAGGTACGTTTGGAACGTAGTCACCCAGAGCTCAGCGCAGATCCCGACTATCATGCAGTTCGCAGACGTCCAGACAGCGAGGCTTCAGCATACGGCGGATGTGACGCCGTGGGATCGCGTCAGGGACCTCCTCCAGCAGCCAACTCCACGCCTCCGACCCCAGATGGTGGACTAAAACAATCGCAGCCAACAGACACTGACATAATAGTCAAGTGATTTTATAATGACTACATCCAAGAAACCTTTCATTAAAGGATTGGCTTTATTCACTTTATTATTCACATTTTTAAGGGAAACAAAAACCATCTGAACAACATAAGGCCTGTCAATTCTGCATTTTTCTGGTAAATATAGCTTAGCCTACGTTATAACAGTAACTAACCAAATTAAAGCCAATTGAAGCAAATAAAATTGTGACAGAGAGGTTATGCAGAAAATCAGGCAGTTCTTAAGTAACGTAAACAAAACGTAATCGCTATAAAAATGAATGAAAACTGTAAACGTACTGGTGACAATGGGTACCATGCAGACTTCATTATCATTGATGACGAAGATCAACATGGACAACCTAATGCGGCTATATGTGGGAAACATTTTGTAGAATATACTAAAAAACCAGAACCGCTCTTGGAAAATGATAAAATATTTACAAGAAATGTTAATGAAACTGTTAGGTACGTAATCTATGAGTTGAGCCTTTTAATTTCATCGGAAATTATGACTTTTATTAGTTTTTAAATAATTTATTTGTTTTTAAATAACTACTTTACCTCTTTGCAATTGCTCGATTTCGAACGATATGTTCACTAGTTTATTATAATTGTACAAGCAACAAGGCCCGTTGTGGTTAAATGCAACTATCCCTAGTAAAATAATGGTCATGAAATCAATACACCACTTTACTCGCTAACATTAATCTTACAGATTAAGCACATTACTTTGGAACAACACACAAAACATAACTTGTTAATGATCACTTTTTATTGTTAATTATCAATTAGTTGTCAAAGAAATAGCTTATTTAATATTAAAGCTTATATTTTTCAATTGACATGTTATCGTTAAAGTTCGATGACAAACTTTATTCTACCGGACAAACAAGAATTAGTCATTTTGATTATACAGAGCTGCAAATGACTTTGTTTGCATTTAGTTTACAACCGATCTATATGTAAATCCAAGCAATTTGGCTTTTTTAAGCAAATTTTTGAGAATTTAAAAAACAGAGTAGGCTACTCAGCAAAATAATAATTTTAATTGAATATACTAACTCAATAAGCTTTTACCAAGAATAAACTATATCAGTGTATTTGTTTTAGCGATTATAAACTTTTGGTTACCCTTTAATACTAGTATACATATCAACATCCTTTCATAGTATTTGAGCCTTGGTAGACATAACCTACAGTAAAATTTACTTGTCAACCAAGTTCGTCCAAGTAGACTTTTTTTGTTATCCAACTTTTTCTCAACGCTTTTCAAATTGTTCTCATTATTGTTTCAGTAAATAATAACTTTAAGACCGTCACTTTTTATTGTTTATACGGACAAATTATTTTTATCAATTAATTCTTATCTTCGTCTTTTGAAGTATATAACACATAGGCTTTACTGAAGTAGACCTAATATATTATTTGAATGAATTTGGCAGTATGCAGCTATTATTTTCAATAACAATTATTGTCATGTGATTATTAAATAAGACAATCAAGGTGACTTCTTATGAAGGTTTACCATAACATGTGATTAGTGATAATAGGGTATTTTTAATTAAATGAAACTTTTGAAAGAGGTGCTATCAATGGTCTTGTTATTGAGGTTCATCTACATTTAGAACTCGTAAAACACGTATCCAAAATACTCGCCCGAATAATAGCCACAACCAATTAGTTTAAGCAATAAGTGTTTTCATAATTAGCTGAATGTTCTCAGAAATGAAGAGGACATATTTCTTTGTTATCTTGTCTCGTATTGTTACAGATTGGCAACAATGGAGAGGTGATGAAGTTGGCAGTATGGCGGACACGGAGGTGCCGCACCTGCTGGTCGCACTGGCGTGTTGTGTGGCAGGAGTAGTGGCGGGGACTTGTCCTTCACTATGCGAGTGCAAGTGGAAGAGCGGCAAAGAAGCAGTGTTGTGTTTGAACGCCAACTTCTCCACAATACCGCTGTCTCTAGACGCGGGAACCCAAGTTATAGACCTTACAGGAAACAATCTGGCAGAGATAGGTAGAGACGCATTCAGCAAAGCAGATCTACTCAATCTACAGAAAATATTTGTTGCAAAGTGTAGAATAAAATCGTTGGACAGATATGCGTTTAGAAAATTGAAAAATTTAGTAGAGCTAGACTTAAGTTACAATGTTCTTCTTGCTGTTCCTTCTCATATTTTTGACTCAATAGCGGAGCTAAGAGAGTTAAAATTGAGTGGTAATCCAATTCTAAGGGTGATGAACGACGCTTTCAGCCACATCCCGCAACTGGTGCGGTTGGAAATGTCAGACTGTAGATTACAAATTGTGGAACCTCGTGCCTTCAACGGTCTCCATGAAAGCCTGGAGTGGTTGAAACTAGATAAAAATAAAATAGGTAATATAAGGTCTTCGACTCTAACCGCTCTACAGAATCTACACGGGCTAGAACTTTCAGGGAATCCGTGGAATTGTTCGTGTTCAATTAGAGAACTCAGGGAGTGGATGCTACGGCAGAACATTCCCTCTAGTGCCCCACCGGTGTGTAAAGTCCCCCGTAGACTCCACGGAAAATCTTGGGATAGGTTAAATCTTGACGACTTCGCTTGCATACCTTCCATTGCTGCTCACAGTGAAGTATTTTCAGGTACCGAGGGAGGAAATGTATCCCTCTCCTGTCTGATATCTGGGAGCCCAGACCCTGTCGTGAGATGGTACTGGAAAAGCCGTATTCTTCCTAACGTTTCTTCGGGAGTGACTAGTGCGAAGAGGCCTTACGTTATAACTGTGGGGGAGAAAGTGACATACTTGACTATAGTAAATCTTGATTTGCAAGATGCCGGAGTTTATCTGTGTACTGCAGAAAACAAAGCTGGTAGAGTGGAAGGGAACGTAACGCTGGAAGTGATCAAGAGAGTCAGAGAAGCAGGGTTCTCTTGGAACGTTCTGCTCGCTAGTATCATCGTCGCTGTACTTTTCGTCGCCGCCTCCTGTCTGGTGGTGGTGTGTATGTGTTCAGTCAAGCAGAAGCACGGGATGCCTAGAGCGAGGAAAGAGAGCTACGAAAAGATGGAACTGAACCACAAGAGCTGCGGGCCTCTGGTAGGTAATATTTGCAAATAAGTTTTTATTATATGCCCATTCGTTTAGAAATTTATGATTCTGAAGAAGAGTCTGAGTATTTTAAACCAAAAAATACATGAGAAAATTTGGAATTACCTAATGGTGTTCTGAAAACAGAACGTAAATATAGTGTTGACAGAATAATCATATACTCCCATAATTATTATATAATTATATAGTACAATTATAATTATATGATTATTCTGTCAACAGCATATTTACGTTCTGTTTTCAGAACACCATTAGGTAATTCCAAATTTACTTATGTATTCTTTTGTTTAAAATGTTTTTAAGTTGGATTGTTGTTCAATGTACTGAGCTGTCATTGTTCTCGACCTTGCCAGCAAATAACATTAGTTTTCCTTTGTGTTGAAATAAAATACTGTTACTAATTGGACTATCAAACAATCCAACTAGCAATGGTTATCATTTATTAAACCCTTTGGGAGTAAAAAAGTGTAACGTCTACTCTGGAAATTGTCCACGTGGTTTGATTAAGTTTCATATTTAGAATTAGTTTCTATCTATAATACATATCTTACTTTATGGTAGAGGTAATGTTTAGGTTTTACCACTTTCACAAGGTACCACTTTCACTCTTGTACCTTTTATATGACGAAATAGAATTCTAGACCAGATGGTGCAACATATTCAACCTCAGTAAGTTATTGAGAAAAATATTATTATGAATCCCCAAAAAAAACCCCAATGTTACATGTTGAGTTCTGAAACCCAAACGTGGGAAATCTATCCATGTAGTGATTGTTTGAGGAATTATAAATGTGTTAGGATATGTTTATCACCTTTTAACAAACATGGATGTATGTTAAAACCCAATACCTCAATTTAAGAGATAATTTTTGTTTTATAATGCTCGAGTTAGTTGTTTATTCAGATCTTTCGACTATATAAGGTGTCCCAAGAAGAGTTCAATATTTTCTTATTAATATACCAGATGTTCAATCAAGCTACGTACTTCAAAACTCTGCAGCTGAAAGACAAACATTAAAAATATAAAAAAAAACCTTGAGTCCAAGTTGATGCCGTCTGATCAGAACAAATGTGCGGAACACTAAAATAATGTGTGTTTTCATTAAGGTAACAGTAATTGCAAACCTATTTTAAACAAATTCCTTATTTTTGATATGTTACTTAAGGAGAAAAAACTAAATCAATTAAGTATATTTAATAGTATCAAACCATAAATACAATTAACTTTATTCATAACGCTTGATTCAAACTTATGTCTAAAAATCAAATTGCACTTTTTATTACGCTAGTATATACGGTAATTTTGGTCTTATTGTCTTGCTTCACCATTATGTTCTGATTAATTAGAATCAAACGAGGATGGAATGTATTTCTTACAAAATTGTTTATCTTTACTGAAGAGCTCCAAGTTTGTAGCAAATAACTTGCGACTGATATATTGATTAGAAATATCAACCTCTTCGTGGGACACGCTGTATATTAGAGGAAATTTTCACTTCTCGCATAGAACATATTAGGTAATTAGGCTACCACTAAAACCAAAGATGGCTCACTGTATAGGCTCCTACTGCCAACCACTACACGGAGGTGGCCGTAGTAGCGCCCACCAAGCAGCATCCTCGCCACAGCGAATACCGAGGAGTTCCTGGGGACGATGCTGAGGGGGAAGATGAGGACGACACTCCTTCGACAGTCGTGTCTGATGCCAAGGAGAACATCGTGGAGTTCACCCGAGGAGCTTCCAGAGCAAACAGGTACATCGTCTAGTAAGCCTAGGTTGTGAATCGTTAGATTAAGGTTTTAATTGGCTACAATGTTATACTATTGTACACATATTACCATCTACTCCTACTTATAATCCTTACTTATTATCCAGTGTTAAAATCTGTGTACAACTAAATCTAGAGTTCTACTGGACCAAATTTATTAATTTAGTGGGTCGTTTAAAAGCTTAATTTGTGTAGATTAATAAGTAATGATAAAAGTTTTACTTTGTAATGATTTAAGGTAAAAAACTAAAAAAAAAACATATTTTACACAAGAAATACATTGAAAACGGGGGGTTTCACCTTTTTTATTTGGATGCAATTTTTGCCTGCCTTTTTCGAGAATTTTCAAGAAATGCGTAATATAAATTTTAGGGAATGTTATTCTCTTTTACAATATCCCCCTCCACTGGTTCAATTCCTCACCATTTTAAAGTTATTTGCAAAAAAGCTAAGCAGCCTCCGAATTTATAGCAGTAAGAAAATACAGTTTTACAACTATTTTTGTTTACCTTTGTACAACTAAATCTAGACTTCTACTTGACGGATTTTGTTCGTTAACGAGTCATTGGAAAGCTTAATTTGTGAAGATTTGAAAATAATTATAAACGTGTATAAAAGTTATAAACGTTTTTCAAGATTCTATTTGTAGCTAACATTTGGCTGTCTTTATTAAGCATTTTCAAAAAAATAATGGTAGTTATTTGTAAGAAATTTTATTTTCTTTCAGAATATTACATTCACTTTGGTCAATATCCCCACCATTTAAAGGTTATTGGCAAATAAGCTAAGTGACCTCCAGATTTATAGTTGTTAACTACTATAACAGCAGATTTTTTATATCGTTATTTAATCGATTTTTCTTTGTTTACATGTTGTTCACAATTAATTTGCTTTTGTGGTTAAAGTGTGTTCCGTATGTTATGTGTGTTGTTCCAAATTATGTGATTTACTCGTATATGTACGATTAATGTTAGCGAGTAAAGTGGTTTATTGATTTTATGACCATTATTTTACTAGGTATAGTTGTATTTAACCACAACGGGCTCTGTTGCTTGTACAATAATAATAAATACAATCTACTATTAATTTTGAGATAGGTAGTGAAATTTGGCGTATGAGAATAATAATTGAGGGTATAAAAATTAAACTCGGTAACATTAATTTACGAACACTATACGTTATTTTTTTCTAAACTTATCAAAGGAAGCATTTCCTGAAAATATTATGTGGACGTAAACAGAAAAATATGCTCATAAGCTATTTAAAACAGCTTATAGTTCTAGTTCTCTGATTTTCCCTAGATTTATTTGATCGCAAATAATGTTGGCGTCGAGTTTATATCTTAAATAATAACAGCTCCCGTAGCAGATATTTAACAATTCCGCTGGTTAAACAACTTGTAGCGTTATGTTGTTGGCAAAATTACATGCGATTAATGCAATTTAGTTTTTCGTTATAAAACAAATAAGAATAAAATAAAGTAAGTGACCAAGGACCACAAAGGTCTTTCTGTTAGAAATATGCAACAGTATGTTGACGATAGTCGATTAATACTATTTAATGTGTTGAGGAAGGAAATCATCCCCACAGATATACGACCATCACTATTTACCAACGGTGTCATAACTGCCCTTACTGTATCGGTGTACTTGTGACTTACTATGTCACTGCAAACACTTTACTAGTTGCCATTGGCTGTATGTGCTATTAATTAACCGTCCTGTCTAAGGAACTTGTTGGCCTTAGTCATTAACAAGACTACAAGATCTCCACTCATATTACACTCATCTCCATCCATACATTGCTTAAAATACCTACCTTCGTATGGTCACCATTTCAGGCAAAAGTATTTAAAAGTATGTATACTTCCCTTGTTGACGTGTCAAGGACAACTTTACAAGTTGAAAATGGTCCCCACTCTTGTAGTCTATAGACCACGAACATTTCTAATAGTCTCATAACCAACCCTATTAGTTTATCTGAGACACTATGTTTACTTGTTTCAGGCCGTCGTTTGGTGACGTGCCAGTACAACATCACGTGTTGAGAAAGGAAATTCTCCCCTCAGGTAGTCTTTACACCACCGCCACCCCTTCCAGTGATGAACGCAATTATCCAGACCTGCTGGAGACGTCACCTCAACCAGACCACACGCATTTCTTCAGCACGCTTCCCAGGTGTTTATCAAACATTTCACATTTGGGCAGATAAGTAGCCTAAATCACTGAGCTAGGTATTTCAGTTGAGGTAGCACTGACACGACAACTCTGCTAGCGTAATTTTGATGGTTTGATACCAACTAGGTGAATCAGCTCATGGTTTTATTTATGTACAATCCTTCAGTCCCCTGGTTAAAATGTACGAACAATGTACATTATTACCTAGTACAAATCGTGGCCAACGTCTCGCAGGTAATTCAGTGCTACCTCTAATTGTATCGCTAGCTCAGTGAAGTAAACATATATAATGGAGCTGTAGCTAATCTTCTCTTTGGAAATAACATAGTTAAATGTGCCACTCATAGATTAAGCTATAGCGTAGTGTCGTTTTCGCAATTGAAACCGTCAACTTTCATTTGAGATGCTGCAGCTTGTAATAAGTTGTATTTTAAGTTGAGCTTGATTAAAAAAATGTTGTGTTTTATACAAAAATAAGTAATTTACACTGAGACTCACTCAGTTGGTGGCTCAATTAAACCACGCTCAGTTTCTCTATAAGACTAGCTACGACTTTATCATGAAAATGCAATGTTAAGTTATTTTCACTGTCAAAGCTTTTGTCCTATGTGATTGTAAAACTCTAAAAATACTAAAAGACATTTAATAATTGAGTTTATTTGCGAAGAATGTTCATGAAATAACCAGTTATGAACCCTCTTCAAATATCATGTGGTTTTGTGATGCTTACTAAATGTTACAACTGCTTTAATATCGATTTAGAGAATATTAGAACACTGTTCTAAATAAATCGTGTGATATTTACTAATGCAACACGTTATTCAGGTCCAGAGGTGCCAGGACCGTAGCAGTGTCGGAGAGTCAAAGTCCTCTGTTGACCGACAGTAGATACGGCAGCAGCGGTGGCGACAGTGGAGGTTCCAGGCGCCTGACCTCCGAGTCAAGATCTTCCTCGTACTATAAGTAAGAAAATGCATAAAAACCAGTTTAAACTATAATATAAAATCTCATTACACATGCAAACACGTAGTATCAAGTTGTTAAACTGTCAATGGAGTCATTTTGTGTTAGATCATATTTAGAAAAAGCAAAAATTATTGAAATGCAACTTTAGCTGGTACTGTAGCCTTGTCTTTAGAATACAATAAAGCTATTCAAAGGGTAAGCATTTTTACATTTTATAACATCACACAACTTGAATAATAAACGCAATAAAATAACATAAACCACCTGTTCTAGCCGGTCATTAAAAATGTATTAGAATCATACCAAAGTGGTCAACATTATACTTTTTTATTTTAGTGCATTGGTTGACACTGTATTTATATTTTAAGATTTGTATAAAAATATAATTATTCTGACTTGACGGTAAAGGTATACTTGTTCGTAGCTTTGAGTTTTCTTGATACACAAAAACATCAAAAAAAAAAAAAAACTAAAATTAAAAAGGTATTTCTTTACAGACTCTCCTCGGTGGGCGAGCAGCGGTCTAGCAGCACTTTGAATCTCTCCCATGGGTCTTCCACTCTTCCAGGACCCCGCGCCTGGAGACATCCCAGTTTACCTACCTCTCCAGTACCTCGCCCTGTGGGTCCTTCTACCGAGACTCCCATCCTCGACCTCCTGGAGCAGAGACCCTCTCCCAGGTCGGAGTACTCCCCCTCGGTCACCACCTACGACTACCACGCTGCCCAGCTAGAGAGGTAACTTGTGCATGAGATTGTAAAGCTTTACCACACTCAACTATTGAAACATTTCATTGTACAAACGTATATAGTTAAAGAATGTGCGAACAAGTAGTTGAATATGTTACTTTGCAAAGCTGATTTGTTTCTTTGGTGCGATTGTTTTAGATCGAATATAAATATACATTTTCAGTTTAAAAGGTTAAATTTAAACTGTGCTTTTGCACGGGTATAATCAATAATTATTTTTCATTCTCTCTATCTTGATCTCGTATATTAAAAACATTATTTTTACAAGACATACATACTTTATTTGCACGTAACATTCTTTCCGTGTGGTGGTACATACAGAATGGGTGCACTGTGTTAAATAAAATACCTTAATATGAAATAGTAAACAATAGGATAATTTAAATTAACAAACTTGAATGATGAAACTAATATAAATAAACGGTATCAGCATTCTGACACATACTTTCTCCCATAAGTTTGTCAAAAACCTTTTTCATATGTAAGTGGTGAGAGTAAATATACGCAAATGGGATTTGTATAATTTTGTTCACAATTTAAAGGACTATAACATGCTAAATTTTTATCAAAATCGTTTGGGCCATTTTTGTGAAAATCCGATTTTTCTGTTATTTTATGGGGGTTTTATGGGGAAATAACATAATTTACAATAACTTTTGAACCGTAATTTTTACAGAAATGGGATTTGTACCATTTTGTTCAGAATATAAAGGACTATAACATACTAATTTTTTATCAAAATCGTTCGGGCCATTTTTGGGAAAATCATAGTTTTCCGTTATTTTATGGGGTTTTATGGGAATTTCCCCATAAAAAAAATTCTAAAAAATTAAAAAAAAACTATCAAAACTGTAAAGACTATAACATACTATGTTAAATCAAAACCGGATTTTTTTCAAAAATCCTATTTTTCGTTATTTAATGGGGTTTTTATGGGAAAATAACATATTTGACCATAACTTTTGAACCGTAATTTTTACAGATATGGGATTTGTACCATTTTATTCAAAATTTAAAGGGCTACAACATACTAAATTGTTATCAAAATCGTTCGGGCCATTTTCGAGAAAATCCGATTTTTCCGGTTTTTTATGGGTTTTTATGGGAAAATTCCCATTAAAAATCAAAATTTCAAAAAAATGAAAAAAACGCCTGGAGATACCATGGATTAGAACCTACATACCAAATTTCATCGAAATCGGACCACAGGTGTGGTCTCTAGCTCTGTACACATCCAGACACACAGACACACACACACACACACACACACACACACACACACACACACAGACATCACTTCGAAAACCACTTTTTTGGGTCCAGGGGGACCCAAAACGAATATATCCACTCAAAACTCAAACTCGAAAATTTTGACGAAAACAATACTTTCTCCATATACTATGGTATAGGGGGAGAAAGTAAAAAGTGGTGTTATGAAAATGTATAATTGAATAAAGTTCTCTGTCTAATAAGCGATCCCCTATTTTAACTTTAAAATATTTGTCAAATATCTGAATATGAAATAGTAAACAATAGGATAATCTAAATTAACAAACTTGAATGATGAAACTAATATAAAAAAGTGGTGTTATGAAAATGTATAATTGAATAAAGTTCTCTGTCTAATAAGCGATCTACCCTATTTTAACTTTGAAATATTTGTCAAGTTAGCAGCTTATACCTTGCAGGCAGCAGATTGAACAGCCTCAGCCCAGTCAGTATATAGCAAACCGGTAAAGTTTTCTTTTAGTTTTTTTACGTTTTTACTATTCTCCAACTGTTATCATCACATTTGAGGTTTTGTGAGATAACCCTTACTCTTATTTGTTTGATCGTTCTGAAAATATTTTTTGGTATCTATCATTGACTTTCAAAGCCCTTGTCCTCTGTATTTTCCGTTCTACCATCCTGTGGAAGGGGTTAGACAGCACTATCCCCTTATCAGGATATTTTCTGACGGATCTATGTGAATTGTAACATTCATCACAATCAATCTTTTTCAGGTTCCTCGAGGAGTACAGAAGTCTACAAGAACAACTTGCCAGGATGAAACGGGAGCAGGAAGAATCTCCTCCTAAATCTATCCTGAAAAACAAGAACAGTCATTCCTCGCCGGACTCGGGTGACCCTTACTGGGTCCCACGGAACACATTGTATAATGCCGGCAGATCTTCACACAATGACTACTTCCCCAGCTGAGAGTCAATCATTGACTAGTCACCTGACTAGTAGTTGATTTAGACCCAGGAGAAAAGATATTAAGATCTGCACCTGCCAATGAATAGACTGCATAATGTCTTGAGTACTATATACTCCCTAAGCTAGCAGATAGTATTAGGTAATCGGAGGGATCTTATAGTGAATACCATTTGTTCGTAAAACTTTTACCATAAAATCTTTTAGTTGTAATTCGTAAATTCAACAAAATCCTAATAAAACTTACCTATAACTATGAGTGTTGTAATTTAAATCAGTCGTCTGGATCTAAAATATGTACAAGAATCATCGGCATAATTCATTTTGTTTGACAAAAATGCCGTACAGTGAGACTTGAAACGAAACCTTGTCAAACGAAATCATTTGTAATTTCAATTTTGATATTCAAGGACTATCGGCTTCAACACGGAACCATTTTACACCTTAATTCAGGCTATGTCTAGAGAGTTGTGGCATTATCACATAGATATAAAATTCATTGGTGATTGGCGGGTTTCGAACCCGCTATTTTAAGGACCAAAAGTCCGTGCTCTGCCGATAGACCTGCTTACTCCCCTCTTAGACTTGAATCCGGTGAATTTAATAACTAACGGCTCTTTCTGAGCTGAACAAGTGCAGCATTTAATATCCATTCTCCTGGGCGAAATTATAAAGTGGCAGAAAATGATCTGGACTGTGGAAAATGTTAAAATGCCCTACAGACATCTTCAATATAGGTTCCTCCATAAGAATGGTTACTATCCAGTATTTCTACCCATACAGCTATATGACATTTATATTTACACCATACTTCTTTTTATACAGTGCTATATTCACATTTTATTCTGAGGGATGATTTTGTTGTGGTTTTAATTATATAGTTTCAGCAACAAGTGCCAAAATAGTGTAAGTTTAAAGATGCCACTGATTTTAATCATATTTTTCATGATACGGAGTAGTCAATATTGACTAATAACAGACATTCTATTACAGATAGTTGTAATAAATACATTTATAGAAACTATACTTTATCAAAGGCCTAACTTTAATACGTTTACCAATGGAAACAAAATGTACTATATCGGAATATCTTGTTTAGCAGGAAAGAAACATTTTAAATTCTATTTGTCCAAAATTCGCAATAGGATTTTTTTCCTTTTATAAAATGGAAAGATAACTTAGAAAAAAAGTATGCATCATAATACAAATATGTATATATAAAATAAATATTATAATATTTTACAACTGAAATTTATTTTCTAATGACAAGAAACGTATGTTAAACAAAGTTAAAAAAAACTAACCTACATTTAGCAATTACTGCAAACGTTTTTCTTTTTAAAATATACCTTTTGAAGAAATAGTCATAACATGGCTTTACTATGAAAATATGTCTTCTAATGTAAACTATTCCACATTTATTTATACCTCTTGAGAATATATTTTCACTAGAGTAAAACCAAATGTAAGTCACCAAAACAACTTTAATGATAGATTTGCGATGTATTTTACAATAATTGTATGTTGATGAAGGAAACGCGTTCTGTTCACTTTACAACACAGAAATATTTCTTTTATTGTTTATCAGATCTTAAATAGAAATTAAAAAATAGTTTAACACATTTTTTGAAAACGGGAATAGTTTTACAGGATTGATTAGTTTAAATGTTATCAGTAACAGTTAAAAGTTGAATAAACTATCCGTTAGAAGGCTGTGAGGTGAAATGTTTGTAAAAAGTAGATTTGAAATGTTTATAAAAGTGTTAATAACATGTGTTAGGGTGTAAAATCGTGTATAAAGTGTTTTTGTACTTTTCCGTTGAAATATAATACAACTATGTAAAATATTAGTGAGTTTTTATCACCTCTTGGATTTTGCTGAACAAGTATTTAATATTTATGTCAGAAAGTTAAGCTATAGAAATGAGACAATCAATGTGTAGTACAGATATATTGACATTATAATAGTTAAAACAAGCAACACGTAATGTTATATGAAGATACGATTATTATACAATAATAAACTGTACGCAATCTTGTGACAGGCTAACTTGCTATTCAACCATAGTGTCACGATTGAATCTTAGGCGTTACTTCTTGTAACGGTTATTTATTGTAATGGTTTAATTTGTAGGGGAATAACATGTAAACTGCAAAGGGCCATAGGACGCTTCCCTTAAGGGTTTTTGAAACGAAAACAGGCTATTATGTTATTCACCTAAGGAATATCCCTGTAAATTTTCATGCCAATTGGTTCAGTAGTTTTCTAGTTATAAACGCTGTAACTAACACAACTTTCTTGATATTAATATTCTCAAATTAAATATTAAATCAAAAAGGCAAGAGAATGTGGTCTTAATGTAAATATCTACGTATCATTGTTTTAAATATCTGTGTATTAAAATACCTTGTTATAAAGTCTCTATCAGTATTCAAAAACTATATGTGATCCAAAGTCCAAAAGTATCTAGTTAAAAGTAAGAGAAGAGAACGGCCTGACCTTGGTCAGCCGACACTGGGTCCAGGGAGGGCGTGGTGTAATTTTTTTAAAACCATGCCGCCGTTGGTGTTTAGAAATTTAGCTAAAAAGAGAGGGTAAGGCCATGATCAGCACATTTTTATATATTGGACCTACTGAATGCAAGTAGCTACATAAAACTGCTTACACTCAGCTAACTGAGACAATAAAAAGGTAAACCCAACTTAAAGATCATCAAGCAGTTTTTTACCTTTAAACCGTGAATAACATTACAGTTACCAAGCGAATAAAAAGCGTTGGTGAATCAATGTTTAAGTCCATCTGAATCATCTTACCACACACTAAGCACATAATTTTGTAAGGTATGTTGTTATAGGGAGATTGGATCCATAGTTGCACCGCGTCAGTTAAGCTTTAACCCTCCTTTGTCCACTGGTCAAACAAGACTCTGTTTATCTTTGGAAGGAACAATATTAGTAACCGTACCTGTGTGTCCCTTATAACATACATACCTGCAATATAACGAACTATTACAACCCTACCTTTGATCATACTTTTATATCAAACAATTAATCAAATACATTTCAGAATTTAAACATTCATATTGATAGGATTTATAAAAAAGATAATTGAAATAGTCAATAATATAGCAAATATTTCAAATATAAAAATACATTTTTTCCGCGAATAATGTACGAGAACATCAGGATGTCCAAAGTCCTAAATAGCTTTTTAATGCCAATCAATAATAATTATAATTTTATTCTCAAAACTCGTGCATAAAACGTTAGACAAATCTTATGTAAGACTAAAAGATTGGATCTAGAATTGAAGATCTAGATTCCCTTGCCTATGATAGTCTGTGAGCACTTTATATGAGTTAGTTTGAAAACATGCCACGTAGCAGCTTCAAACCTATATCTAAATGCAAATAACCATAAACCTACTTTACATACACTTTATACGTTTACTTAAAATCTATAACGTAAATAAAAATCGAATCATTATTGCGTAAAACTTTATTTTATTGGTAAAAGAAAAATTGAAATTATGGTATTGAATGTCTAGTTTTTTATAACTTCTCCATTACTTGCAAAGTACTAACAAGATCAGTTTGAGGCTTTAAATCAAAATACAATTATGTATTATAAAATAATTTACTAAGTTTTTATTGATGATCAAATGATTTGAAAGAAATGTATTTAAAAGAATTGTTCTCGATAAAGATGCAAACCTTATTTTTAAATTGAGATATTAAAGCCACAAGGACATGCAGCTTCGTTTTATAACTAGGACTCCACAAGGGTTTTAGCCTTTTTCAGTTATTTACTATTATTATTGTTGATAATAACGCAAAATATCAAAGAAGGTAGTAAGAAAAGGTTTAATTAGTTCTAATATTCTTCCAAAACCCTAAGTATATTATGGGTGAGAGAAACAACGGAAGAATTGTAAATTTAAAATGCATAGCATAGTTTCCAGACCCAGATGACATTTGTCATTGGGTTCGGAATCAATGATGCTACCTAACAAAAAGGTCGACGTTAGATGGTAACAAGACCAGGGTTTGGACCGTTCCCTTTCAAAACGTAAAAATGTCCCTGGCGTAAAACACACACAAAATAAAAAAAATATGAGTTTTTAATAGGTAAGTATGTTTCCAGTACACGTACTGTAATATTTATCATCGAAATTAATTCCAACGTAGTACAAAGACAAGTGGGGAGTAGTAGTGGAGATAAGTAGCCACAAAAGGACGTCCCCTTTAGTTTAATGGAACTTTGTGACCACCCATTACCATAACACAGTCTTGGTAAGAGCGAACCATCTATAACCAACGCTCTTTGCACATTTCAAAGCGTTTTATTAATTACATTTAAAATATCAGTAGGATTACACATTTGTCTTTTAATTTTTAGAGCCGTATAACTTGGTTTATGTAAAAACTTAAAATATTTAGTCAGTTATATTTAAGGAATTTTACTACACAAATGGGAATATTTCTTCTTCTTTGAGTATTTCCTTCCCCAAATATTTTCCCGTAATGCTACTAAATGTAGATTTTTTAAACGGTTCACACTTTTGTTGACAATTTTCATATTTATAATAAATAGTATTGATACAAATATTGTACTATTTCAATCTTAATAACTTTATTTGGTGAATTGTGTTTCAAAAATATTAATAATAATTTGTGATCAGTTGTATTACATATCCTTTATTGGTACGATGAGTGCAAACTCGTACAATGATTGTGTCTTTTTGGCGTGTTAGCGTACCACCACCATCTGTTACCACCATATACAAGGCATCTGCATTTACTGTCTGCCGCATATTTCAATGACTTCTTCAATCTTCACAGGTTAGTTGATAGTTTCGTACCAGTAAAGTCCTAATTCCTCATGCCAGTACAAAGGTATTGGATTAGGAGTGAAGACCTTCAGGAGATCGCAGAGAACCTCTTCTACAAGTCCAGAGTAGCAGCCTGTAGATTCTCATCTGTTGTATGTGTGGATTCCCAAATCTACTTTGCTGCTTGTCATCTGCGATGGACCATAGCTATTGTCTCCTTCTTCGAGATGATCTGGTGGGAATTTCAGAGAGTCCCTGGAAGTTGTCCAGTTGATCCGATGGAATTGACTGCCTCTCCTCACTTTGGGCTGGAAAAAACCACACAATGATTAGTAATTTGTACACTTATAAAAAGATACATATTGTAACAATGTTTCAAATAAAACTAAAGCCCTACGAATTCCCTATCGTGCAGTGTAGCCGTAAGCCTGGTAACCAACAAATGCACAACCTCCTAATTTGAAGCTGCGTCCTTTTTGGAAGTCGCTCAAAATGTTGGCTACCAATGTCGAATACTAGATAAAGCAATTGTCTGGATAACCGACAAATGAACAATATTTTTTCTACGATCCACGTTCCTAATATTGCTCATGTTGCCAGTCATCCAAAACAAATGTGTTGACCGCATTAAAATTAAATGTAAAATTATAAAGTTACTGAATTAAAGAAACAAAATACACTCATCTTTTGGCCGTTGCTCCCAGCCAAGAGTAAAGTCCCAGCAGAGTTTGGTATTCCTTGACCAAAGACGGGGTCCAGAGTATAGAGTTTCTCTTCCTTGTATCGGTTAAGTGGAGAATCCTCTAAGTCCGCTTCAAATAAAATCTAAAATACCACATGAATACATGAAAATATCAAAATTCTAGTATAATTGTATATCAGAACTGTTTTATATACTGAAATAATGTTAAATCACAAAACATATTGATAAGCCTTCAGGGTATCAACCTAGAAAAAATATGTAGAAAGATTTTATTCCTCCTTGGTACCACAGGAACAAAGAAAATTTATAAAAAAAATATAAACAAATATAGTTACAATACCCACCAAATATTAATATAACTCACCAAGCCGGGTGCTGAGGCTTTGCTGTAGGGTGTGAGTCCATAGGCATGCTTTGGAATGATCCTTCCGGTCGAATTCTTGATTGTCCCTGTCCTTCTTTTATATTTGACTCGTATTTTTCTATTTTTATCAAGAACAATTTATATGTGTCCGTCTTGGAAAATTTTACTTTTGGTATTTAGTTTCCATACGAAAAAGTTTATTGTTACAATTCAAGGAACATTACAATTTCCATTCCAATTCCTGAGTTCTTATGGTTAGTAGTTTTTTAGATTCAGTGATCAGTGTGTGATTGGTTTTTGACTTTTATAATTATAGATGTAGAGACATGATAGCTTTATACGCTACGTTCAATATGTATACACTTTGTGTAGAAAGATAAATTTACCTATATGAAACAAATAATTGCTTAACTTTTCTGTTAAAACTAATAATATTGATTGCCTTAAAAAAATTAATCATATAGCAATTAAATATAAAACGGGAAATTTGTATTGCGTTGGATTTCAATTCTTAAAAATATGAATAAGTCAGATGATCTCGTTTATTGCTATACTTCTGTAAAGTCCTACTATATTAAATATTGTTGGATTATTTGCTATTTGTCTTATTTTAAAATCTCCAATATATAAATTCAAATTTATAAGGAAATTTCTTGTTACATACAGACAATTCCTACGACCAATTGCATTGCTTAGGGTGTTGTACGTTACTAGAATAGGGGTTTTCAGTAAACAATTGTCTGAACCACGAAACAATATCTTCACTTTAAATCGGGTGGATTTTTATGTAACATGTGTGGAGTATTTTAACTATTCAGTGCTAAATAACATATTACAAATATTCTTTTAATAAAATTTTAAAATTGTAAATTTGCACGGAGTGTGATATTTTTATTCTACAGTTAAAAAGTGCCTCAAGTACTTTAATGCAC